GAAAGTTCTTGTTTACATTTGTGCAGAGTCATTATTTGGTAGCAAAAAAGCAGTGTGGAGAAGTAATACTCGTGGTGTTACCATGCCATGGAATCTTTCACTTTCTTGCACAAAGCAATATAAACCCATGATGTTCAGTGTCAGCAGAGTTCTTCATGGACATACCTTTTTGTTTGCATGCATCTGTCATCCGTGCTGAGTACAATAGTAAAGACACTGATTTTTTTTTTTAATTGATTATTTAATAATACAAGTATTTTTGTGGGGGTCTGTCTTACAAGACCTGTTTGTATGCTTATAACCTTCTGACACCACAGTGAGTTTTCAAATTAATATATATTAATGTATATTACAAGCATGTGATTTCATCTATTTCATAATGATACAAGCAAAATTAGTTCACTGCAGTAGTTTTTTATCTGAACTGATCAAAACATCTTGTAATAATTTTTCTAACAATATGTGATTGGAATAACAACTTCACATGTAGAGTTCCATGCTGCAGCCGAGAGGCATGTAAATACAAGCTGCTTATTTGCAAGAAGCTTCCAGATTTGCAATATGATTGCTATGGAAACCACACAATGAAAACCTTATAACCATCTGTGTGGTTTGGTAGATTTTGCTGCATAGCTGAGCTGTTTTTGTTTACTGTTATTAAAGTGTTGAATAGAATATATTAACCCACAAACTGGGATTATCCAAGATATAAACTAGTATTGTGCAATGACAATGTGTCACAGACTAGAGGACAGTAGAATACCAATTAATAATGGCATTAAATTAGAGTCTAATGTAAAAAGATGGTTAAGTAATGTGTTAGTAGAGGAAACTGCTAAGTTCTATGCATATTTATCATGAGATACCACATTCCATTGAAGGAATGCACTGTTCAAGCCAAACTCTTATCCATTTTATACTCAAGAAACCCCCATCAAGAAAAAGAAATTGGAAGGAAAAAAAATCAATGGATTCATGTAAAAAAACTTAGCTAGTGTGGAATTCATTGTTCACTTCTTAAACTGTGTGGATGGTAGAATCGCTATGATTGGGTGATTATTTTTCTGTTTTTTCTTCAGACTGCAAATTAAATAAGTAAATTTATTTTCAGCAATTTTCATGGACAAACTGCTTAACAAATATAGTTAGTTCCTTGCTGCCTTGTCACCACAAGAATTTTGTGGGTTGTTTGCCATGAGGGTCTCCGAGTACCAGCAGAGTTTGGAACATAACTCATATCTCAAGGGGTCTTTGGATCTACAGCTCTAGAAGAGTTCACTGGTTTGATTAGTGTTGATTAGTCACATTTTGACACAATGAGAAGGTGGAGAAGAGTATTTTCTCACTGCAGTGGTAGCGATGGTGTGAAGAAGAGATACAGAAGGAAACATTGTACCAGACTATTTTATTAAGGTCTGCATGACTCCTCTTACACAGTATCTTAATAACACAGAAGGACTTCTACTGTATTTTTTATTTTAATTTTTCATCTTTTGACTCTATTCCATGTTGCAACACAAACTTTAATATGTCGCATCTGACTACAGCCATAATTCCTGGGGTAATTGAGGTTGCTGTGTTTAAAGGACATCTCCTGCACATAGTTATTGCTTCAGGACATAATACCAGAAAACACTAGTAGAACCATAGGTTCTTTTTTATCACCCTAAGCCAAGCCTATTACTGCTCCACTGTGAGCATGATTTCATTAGCAAGTAGTGTGGACCATTTGCAACAGATTCATAAAGCCTAGGTTTGTGCCGAGGACCTGATGTGCGCGCTGTGCATGTTTCAGAAGAGGTTTCCTATGGAGTCACTTTAGTCTGGTTCCATGGACTGACTCCCCGTTAGCAGCTGGACCATGTTCAGTGTGCTTCTGGAATGCCTCTTCCAGTCTAATTGCACCTGAAAGTTTGTCCTCTCTGTGACAGCTCTGTAGTGTAAAGCAAAGTGGGATAAGTGGGGATGGTTGGGTTCCAAACCAGTATGCTAAAATGGGTAGCCTTTGTTTGAATTTTGGGAGCTTTTCAGTATTCAAAGAGCCTTAGTTCAGACATTTTCTCATCTTCAGATCTGGATCTGGTGAACTCTTGTTTCTAGGAAATATGGGGAATGCATATGTTCTAAATTTTTCCATGAAACCACAATGCAATCTACATGTATTCAACTGTACCTTATGAAAAAAATCTCTTCGAACCTCCCTGCTGTTTTACTTCAGTTGAAATACCCTCTACTAAAGTCAGTCCTCAGTTTAAGCTTAGTCTGATGACCCTGACAGTGATAGAGTTAAAATCCACGGTACATTCAACACATCCATTGATGTAGGTCCAAACATTCAGTAACCTGTAATATCAGCATTTATTTATTCAATGTATTATACTCTGTGTGCTGGATGAAACTGGGTTGTTCTGGGAAAAGGGAGCAATCCTAGAAAATGTGACGGATAATGGGATACTACTACCTGTGAGTAGTGTAATAGTGGTAGAGAAGCCACAGAATGACAGTGCCTCCTAGTGCTCCGGACAGCACATGGGGATGTATTTTTGCTATTTATGCCACAATTGGGAGTGCTTAAAATAAACAAATGAGAGTACTTGGAAATGTGCAACAAGTGTTATGCCGAGTGGGGGAATACATTTGAATGCAGTAAATAGCTTGGAGTGTTTTGTGTTGTACTGCAGCTTCAGATTTTCCCTGTTCTATTGTTGTTTTTCCTTGGCTCAAATAATAGTTTATATTCATCTTAATCAGATTTTTAGCTAGTCAAGAGTCAGGCAGCAAAAAACTCTTGCTGGCTTAGTAGGGCAAAAGTTCAAAGCTCTTTGTAGAGTGAATCTCATGATGTAATTGCAATATTTGTAGGACTGCGTATATAGGTTAGCAGCAATTATCATACTCATTTCAACAGGTCTACTCTTGTGCTTTAAACATCTGCTTTAATGTTTGCAGGAACAGTCTTGTGGATAGATTAAATTTTTTTACAAGGCTAAAAATCCTTTGAACTGTTGATATAAAATTATTCTTTGTTGAAGTAGATAGGCAATTACATAAAAGTTGCACAATAAGGAACATTTTAAAAGCTGTGAGTTCCGTATCTGTTGCCTGTCATTAATAAAATATCAAAATTAGTTGCTGAAATGTGTGCCTTAAAAAGAAGCATGAATATCTGTGTAAGATGTGATGAGTAGCAAAGCCAAATAGTTTAAATGTATTAAAAGTCCAATTCTTGTTTGAGAAGTGGGCTTATCAATATGCTATTTCCTCATTCAGTACAGCAGCTTTGTCACTTTTGATATACTGTAAAAGCCAAGATAAATCTGTTTCTACTTCCTTATGAACCTAAAGAAAGAATACAGCTAAAAACCCTCATAGTTCCCTTTTTTGCCTCATCAACAGAATTGTTGACTGTGAAATATGAGGAGGAGATCTTACGTCCCTGTCCTGAGTGGAGTGTGGATTTACTTAAGTGAGGGTGTGGGCACGAGAGAGTTGCCCGTCTGTGCCGGGCAAGGAGTATGGAGCACATCTTTTGCAATTGCCTGTGGGGATTTCAAGAGTGTTCCAAGCCTGCTAGCCAGAAAACAGAGCTGATCACTGCCAGGCTTTCTCTTTTCTTGTCTCCTAAACTTGCACTAAGTTATTTGATACAGTCTAACTATGGTCAGAGGCAGTAGGCAGGAGCACTGAATGCATGGTGTCTGTAGTGTCTGTGTTCCCATCATGTAGGTGTCCAGCTGGTGTGTCTGTCTGACAGTGTTGAAACTAAGGTGTCTTCTGCCTTCTATGCATACTTCTCTTAAGAACTTCTGAATTCTTGCATGGGCTGGGGATTCTTTTTCAATCCTTGGTTTCCTTTTCTTTGTCCTGGCAAGAAATGTATGTAGCAGAATAGGACCCTCATTCTAATTGTCTCGTAATGACTGAAAAACAGCAGAACTGCAGCTCTATATTACTGCATTCAGAGCAGAGTGAAAAGGGAAACAGATGTTCACAATTGAGATTTTGAAAGAAAGCTCTTGGAGTGTTTGGATGGGTGGCAGAAACCACAGAAATAACAATGTTCCAACTTCTGTACAAATGCAAAATAGTAAACAGGGCTTATGATCTGGAAATGTAGCGTGTGGCTTTCAGACTGATGTGGGCTGTAATTCCTGTCAGCTGAGGTGTCCCTTCAGAATTTCATTTGCACTTATGTGTTTTGCAGAAGAACGTGTTCCTTCAAAGGCTGAAGTGCCAAGAAAACTGAGCCAGGAGAAAGTTACCACTGTTTCAGGTAATTAAAATCTTTCCTCTTTATTTTGTGTATGCATTTTCTTTTTACCTTTATTTTCTTGTCTCTTCTGTTTGCTGTTTTAAAATAATGTTTTTACAGCTCTGTAAAGCTGTCTTTTTCACCTGGGTATTTGATGGCAGCAAAACTGCTTAGCACCACTTAGGATGCATGAAAACCACTTGAGAAGGATTTATAAAGTAAGCCAATTTATACAAGGTATTCCTTCCTGAATTACTTTGTAATGACTCAATTAGCTTTCATTTCTGCACAAAGGAGATTTAGTTGCATAAATTAGCTTATCATCATTGAGGAAGTGTCACTGCTAAAGGACAGTTTATAGATACAACATGCAGTTGCTGTCAAACCTATAAGAATGTAATATAGACATCTGTGTATACTTTGTGCTTGAGCAGAACAGACTTCTGCCATTCAGAGACTAACAGGGGACAACAAGTTGCCCAAGGGACTGGCAATGTAGACGTCTCTGAAAAGGTCAACTTGACACAGGCTCTGACAATCGACCCAAAGCTCTGTCTTCTTTGATAAAAATCAGATAAACTTAAGACCACTAATTGATCTGCAGCCTGTTTAAATGTTGGCCATGCATATCTTCATTGCATATGATTACCACAGAAAGCAAATGAATTGGGTAAGAAATGCCAGAGTCCAGTGACAGCAGCGTAAAAATTGGAAAAGGACACAAATGCCCAGAAAGGCTATGAAGGATATTCTCTCAGCTTTACTTGGCAAGCTGCCCTTGTGCTAATTATCTCTGGGACTGGAAAAATAACTGCATACACCATGTAAAGTCACATGGCCAGGCAACTTTTCTTGACAGAAAGGTATTTCCAGTTATGCTTAAAAACAAGATATATATGTGCTTCAAGGGCACAGACCTTTAGATAAACTATTGGTGATTTGACACAGCAAGTAGAGAAGACTTGCTTCTTATCAGACCTTACACCTTTTTGAGATCTGCTGCGTTGTAACTGTGACCTGCACTGACATGCAATCTGGCTCTCCTTCCCCCATCGTACATAATACACATAATTCTTTCAGGGCTGTCAAGGAAAGGGTGGGCAAGAAGAGTTCCTTTAGGAAGTAGCTCTGCAGTGCTCTTCCTGTTGCAACATGTGGAGAGGAAACAGAGGCCTGATTTCCTGACCCATACAGGAAAGCAGGAACAGGTTGCTGTGAGGAGTTTTGGGTTGCTTTTCTTGGAAAGGAAACAAGAGCCAAGTCATCAGATGCTGTTAGCATTGTGCTCTGCTAAAAACATGTGTAAAACAACATGACTCATTACAGGCTTAATATTTAGTACTCATTTGGACATTGCTGTAATTATAAGTGTGTTTTGTCATAATGGAGCATGGGGTCAATCCAATTATAAAGTTGCCAACAGCATTTTTTTTTCACTAATGTGTCTTCTTGAAGTTCTAAATGGTCATACTTTTAAGAAATCAAAAGCTTAGCACCTTCATTTCTGAAAAGTTTTAACTGCTATGAGAACAGCCTTATCAGCCTTGCTAGTATTTGTGTAATGTCCTTGAAAATACCGTAACAGCTCTCCCCAGATACCAGATTCATTTCAAGCAATAATTTCCTGATCTGATCTTACTTAGTTAACTATTTAACACTGGAAATTTGTTTGACTTTTAGGGCTGAGTTTACATGAGTATTTCTGATAGGCATCATATCATAAATATCTAACCTGACTCAAGTGTATTTAATGATTTTCCACATAAATAGTGCATACATTCTTAATTTATTGCTTAGCTTTACTAAACCTGAATTTCACAGAAAATGTTCTGCAAATTGTGAGCTCAGCCTGGTAAGTGCAAAAAACCTTTCTTTTTTCCTACTCTTTTCTTGCCCTAACTTATCTCTACTTCAATTAATGTGCAGACTTGAGTTCTTTTTATTCCTTCAGTTGGAAGGAATAACTGACTGTTGCTGCTGGATAGCTTTACATTAATTGCTAGTGACGTAATTATTTAAAAATACCAAAGCATTGAAGAGTTTCAGTTATGTAACATGGCTTGCTGGGTCTTTTTTGCTACCACTATCTACCCATTATCGTTTCCACAATCACTATTTCAGTAAGTGTCATGTTCTGTGCTGTCTCAGTGTAAATACCTTGATTTTAGAGTAACTAAGGAACAGTAGGAGAAGGGAAGTGAGAAAGATTATGCTGAACAGATTGGGCTAGATAGAGGTTGAGTCCAAATAAATACACTACAATTATTTTGTCCTTATTTCATAATTTTTTTGGCACGTGGGAAAAAGGGCAAGTAAGTAAGTAACAGGCATTCTTTGCAGTTTAGGACATCGTCAGAACAAATAACTGTTCTTTAACAGGGTATGTCTCACCTGGGCATTGAGACTCAACACTGAGTCTAAATCACTTGTGTAAGACAGAGTCATTCCGGTAATGTTAATTTTGAACTTCACCTGTCTCTCCATCTTTAAGCCTTCAGTATGGTAAATACTGAGCACATGATCACCAAAAGGGGATAGACTTCACATCTTTGAAATATTGTTAGGTAGCCCAGACTAGTAATCTTCAAATCTGACGCTATAAGCTTTTGAAGACTGATCAAGAGTCAAGGAATATGAATCAGAATGGCGAGCTGTTTAATTTACTGGGCAGTGGACCACAGTGGTGAAAGGAAAACATACACGTGTTCCTTCATTCCAAAAGCAATGTGTAAGCAGATAATATAACTACTAGCTCTAGGTCACTACCGTAGTAGGGTTTGCTAACTTAGATGCCATCAAAGTTAAAATGGAACATCAGTGGAAATCAGGCACAGTCACATTTATTCTAATGTTTTAAGTAGTGCATTTCCATACGTGGGCTATAATTCCTGTTTCTGTTTTGGTCAGTTTAGTGTTCTGTCAGGTTTCTGCTCAGAAATGGCAAGTGCCAAAACTGTCACAAGGTAGGGGGCAGGAATGGAACAGCCTGCAGTTAGATTGGCTTCGGCTGCAATGGGACAGCACACTTAAATCCCTCTGAAATATGTACTCTTAATGTGTTTTTCCAGGGTTTGGGTTTTTTCTGTCTATTGAGGCTGTTAGCATATTCTTATAATTTTTTCCCCCTTGAGTAATCCATCGGCATTCTTAAGTTTTAAAGTCTGCAATATTTGAAGTGCATGCTTGAGTGATATACTTGTCTTTTTTTTTTTTTTTTTTTACCCAAACTGTTCACCTTTCTTCAAGCACGTATTGTCAGGTGCCAGTATTTTTCAGTGAAATAAGCAGTCTGAGCCTACTGTCAGGAAGGCTGGCAGCTGTTGCTGTTTGATCTGTCAAACTCTGAAGTGTTTTCATCAGTATACTGGACAAAAATATCTGTTGATCCTATTACTGTTACTGGAAAAACAGTGATGGCAGAAGAAAACCACGAGGAATTCTTTATGGAAGAGTTTTGGAAACTGTTGGATAGTTGTTCATCCAGATAGCTGACCTGGAATGAAAGAAGTATTTCCTGGAGAAACAACCTATCCAAAATTCTGCTTAGCCATTTCTTGTGATTGGTAATATTAAAAGCAGTGGGTAGGTAAAAACAAACTGCTTTCTACCATCTGCCACACATTTACATTTTTTTATCATGTCTTATTCGTATTTGTGGCCTAAGTGACTGTGCCTTCAAAATATGACAGACTTTAGGTTAGCAATTATGTCATCATAGTATTTTTAAGGCACACAACATTTCACAGTATATAAGAATAGAGTGTAATTGTGACAGAGTAATGCCAGGAAATCAATACCTTTTGAATTTGAAGTCTAATGGGCACATAAGTTCTTGATGCTAAATCCACCAGCTGTTTTCAGGTATTACATGTGTTTAAGAAGCTCCATGTAATTTCATTATTGTATAAATACCAAATTCCTTTACCCAGGTCTTCTGGTCTTGTTTTATTCAGTTCTTCCAGAGGCAATCACATGAAATTTGGCAGGGTTCTCCCCAACTGAAAGAGGGGCTGAAGAAAGAAAGAATGGGCTTGTGTTCTGCAGAGGTTTTTGCAGCTTTTTTTTGTTCTACCTCTGTGTTTGTGAAGCACTGTGAATCATTTTATGAAGCATTTTGCACTTCAGGTGTATAGATTCTGAAGTTAAATTTACAATTGGCTTTTATGCATGTGTAGTTGCAGTTACAGAATTTGGAGAAACTTGTGCTGGTGGGTATGAGAGGGGATTTTGAATTTGAAATTAACACTTGTTGGAAGACCAGAATAGTTGTTCACAAACTTATACTGGCGCTTTCTCTCCCTATTTTTCATTTCTGTGCTCCTGGTATACCGGTATGTGTTTTGCTGGGAAATGTGGCTTTCTGATTTAAACAACTCTGTGTTATGTTGAATGCACAAATGAGGGCACAGAGCCATGGTTAGTCTTTGGGCAACATCTTCACAGTTGCAATAAGCTTATTTTAAAACACATCTTGTCCAGTGTTGCCGTGTTATTAGTTGAGCTGCTTTCCCACTTTAAGGCTTCATTAAATGCTCATGATGAACACCTAGGGAGAGATGTCTCTTACCCGCTGTGGGATCTCTTCTGTTGCTGATGTTCCCCATGTACCTCCCATTAGCGTTAACAAGAGTTACTTCAGGCACATAAAGGTGAGAACAGACCTCAAAGTCATAAAGGTCAGTGTGAAAAGTCATGATTCATTTCAGTGCAATTCTGAAGAAGTAAAAGTCCTGATTAATGTATTTTAAACCAAATCAATAAGACAACTGCTGAAAGATTTGAAAGGTGGGATATACTGAAATAGCTCTTTTAGTTTTTTTCTTTTACGAGATAGAGCTGGGAACTGTGATCAGTGCAGTATCAAAAGACTGAGGAGAGATTCTGATTTAATATTTATCACAAATTAATTTGGCGCTAACCTTTGTTACTGTTTATAATTGTCTAATGCTAAATTGGTGAATAATGAGCTGACAAATAGGAAGGGCCAAAATTTGGAGGTGCAACATTTCAAACTGGTTCCACCTTCCTCTTGAAATTATTCTGTTTACGCATTTTACAATAACCAAATCTCTTATTTCTGAATGGTCGGGAGTTTTATATATGTATATATTGCTGCTTTTGGTGTGATGACAGAAGAATTTGTGCACTGGTAGTCAGAACGCCCCCTAGTGCTGTATAGCAAAGTGGTAGCTACTAATCATCAGTTTATGGAAAATTATATGGTGGCTAACTTGCACAGCAGCTTTAAATTCAAGGTTGTGAATATTTAGCCTTACGACAGTATTGCCATCAAAACAAGATAGCGCAGAACACAGACTGAAGTGGATAAATAGAAAACAAGCTGCTCTTGATCATACACAGAGTATTAAAATCTAAGTATTTGTCTAAATAGGGGAAAACACAAGTTGAATACTGCTATATTTTTTTTAATAGCGTGACACTTTCTCTTCTTTGATACTTGATATTTTAGCAGGATTTTTTCAGTAATAAAATGAACCAATCATGATTAAATTGTAAACTATAAATAATGGTGTAGAGCGCTAACGACATGCAAATGTAACCGGTATATGTTGGAATAACCAGCAAGCCTGCTGTTCAAGGATCATATAACAACACTAAGATGACAGCCTTGATCCAGCTAGTTCAGTGATATTTATGTTATCAGAATTAGAAGATAGCTTTCCAGTGATGTAAATTATTAGTACATATACATTCTGTCTGGTTAGTGTATACATAATGTAACCGGTCATCTTAGTGGTATTGCTTACATTCTTTTTGCATTAACTCACCACACTCCATTCTCATGGAATTAAAAACAGGAAATAGTTTGCAGTGTAACAGAAGCACCCAGTGTATTTAACCGTGCATAAGCGCTGTGTTTCAATAGATGTACTCTGTATTGTAAGTGTATGACAAAGCATTTATTACTGTGTTATTGCCGTATTACAGAGCAAAGAGTGCTAAATAATCAATCAGTTAATGGTCTGTATGGCAGCTTGAACACAGCACATCCATTGTGCTTATGCTGTTAGAAGGATGAGTTTATGACTGTAGTGTAGTTGCATGTTTAGCCAGAGCTTAATGTCCTAAACTGGAGCTGACACAAATATTTTTAAAATGCAGCTTCAGCAACAGTTTCAAAGTTCTCCAGTATTTCAGAAGGAACAATCAAGGATTATCTCAAAGGTTCTCAGAGAAGTTATTTAGTTTTGTTGGAACAGGGGAGGGAGGGGGAGCATATCACAAAATACTTACTTAGGCTTCCTTTCACAGATTATTATTAATTATATTCTAGCAATTTTATCAGTTTCAAGTTGAGATACAAATATGGCTTGCTAGAAATATATTAGTAGAGGAACACTAGCTGCTTTAAGTTGCAGCTGGAAAATGCTTTGAAAACCTGTAGCTACATGTCTTTAAGTGATACAACTTGCCAGTGAAGGGCTTGCACATTAAACTTGTTTTCCATTTGCTTTTGCGGCATGAAGGAACTGTTTCTAAAAAGAGGAGTAAGAAATGTGCACTAATAAATTGCTTTGTAGTATCTGGAGATTTAAAGAGTAACTTTAGTCCCTCAATCTTTATCCGTTTATAATTAGATGCCGTTTTCTTTGCAGATGGCAAAAATACTGATTACGCCAATTTCTATCAAGGTTTGTGGGACTGCACAGGAGATGTACCTGATGAGTTGACATTTAAACGCGGTGACGTTATCTACATTCTCAGCAAGGTACGGCGTGCTACTGGGGCTACATAATTGTAAAAAGAGAGCCATGGCAGAAGGGCACATTCCCACAGTTCTATGGGGGGAAATTGGCACTCCCTTTCAGATCCTTTGTTTGCAATCAGATATTCACTGCAATTAATTATTTTGTCAAATGAACTATAATCACATTTAAAACATAGCTGTGTAACAGGAATTAACTTAAAAGCATGTTTATTTACTTGCTAAATCTTGGCTACCATTTGTTAACTGATTTAATGGGAGACAACGTGCTTTCTGCTTGTAAAAGTTAACCTTGTAGAATTTTAAATTATCTTGTATGTTATGTTTTTTGTTTCCTGTTTTATATTCCTGACGGTGCTGATTCTGACTTTTTGGGCATCTTGCTACAGAAGATGGTTTGTTTTTTTGAACTATGCTTTCATCTTTGTATGTATATTGTAATTGTTCTGACAGCTCAGATTCCAAATTTGTTTGCTCTGCCAGTTTTGGGCAATTTTTAATTTACTGCTTTCCTGTTTGCAAAGCAAATGAGAAATACAATTCATCTCATCTAAAGTGATGATAAGCAGTATAAGCATGAAATTTTATTCTACTTTAATGTTGGTTAATTTTCTTATTTTTCCTTAACCCCCCCAACAAAAACAAAACCTCTCCTAAAATATATCTCCTGGTCCATTGAAGTCTACTTCTGAACAATTCATCAAAGGAAATTTCTCTTTTCCCCACATATTAGAAAAAAGCTGAGCTTTTCAAGTTCTCATTGAAAAAAAACACCTTTTAAAACATATGGAGAATATATATCTCAGATGTAATTGCTGTTCAGTATAATTAATGCCAAAGATACTGTGGGTCATTGAAATATACAAGTAGGTGCATGAAAGCTAGAGGCATCTGTTTGTCTTAGTTTCAAACTCTTCAGTTTTGTCACGATTGCTTTAAATCTTCTGTGATACCTTTAACTGCAATGTTTCCGGATAATAAATATAACAGCTTCTGTTTAAATAAATTTAAGATTTATGGATAGAAAGATAGTCCTATATAAAAATATAGAAGATATATTACTAATGGTAATGTGACCATGTATGTCTTTTGAGGTATTTCATTGTCACTTAAATTAATAACTGAATTGCATTACCAAAGGCCGGATAACACTCTTGAATTGGGCAGACTTTCAAGCAGTTACACAGCTCTGAAGAATGGTACTAATTTAAAATAACCACCTCTTCCCCCTCTCCCTCCCCCCCCAAAAAAGCCCATGAAGAAACGGATTCCGCTGAACGAGTTTGGCCTCTTTGTGGGTTGTGCTCTTCTGGTACAGTATGGGGACTAATAAAATCTTAATCTTCAGCCTGTAGGTGGAAAAATCACTTGCTACTCCTTCCCCAAAAGAGTGAGAAATTTAATTTAAAAAATGGAGCAGAATAGAAAAACAGTAGCTTAAGCTGTCCTCTGTATATCAACTGTCTTGTGGTCATGCCGTGATTAATCCGTAATCGGTCCTTGAAACAGGCTTGCTGCTGCTCCAGATATATAGAGCCTCTCTCTTTGGGAATGATTTCTACTCCAAAATACAGCCCAGAAAATTCAGCCCTCTGTCGCTTAAAGATTGTTACAGCTTTTTCAGAAAAATGAGTGTTGGCCACTACTGTCAGCTCTGAATTTAGGGTCCTTGGAGGGGAAAATGCCAGAGAATTATCCATCTTAACCCTCCACTTGATTCAGTTTCAAGGCCTGATCATTTACGAGCTCTTTGTCTGGTAAGTAAAAATATAACCGAAGGAAAAGTGAACCTAACCATCCTGAAGTGGGTCAAGACTTTTCTTCAAAAAATATTTCCTAATCCACTACATTAATACTTGGATTTTGTGGCAGTCGGCAGGAATCCTTGGCAATTTTTTTATTTTTTCACACCATCTAGTGGTTGAAAATGAGAGATGCAGGTACTGACAGGGGGCGATGTGTAGGGATCCAAAATGGTGTCATAAATTCAGCTTCAGCTTGAACCTAGCTATGGCTTTATTGCCTTTCTATCATATGTCAGCCAGGTATGAACATTACTCTTGAAAATCCCATTTTGCTGATAAGGAAGTAAATACGGGTATAGCAGTATTATAGTAGGAAGGGTGAAGCATTAACAAAATATCGAGCATATTTGTGCAACATGTAGTAGTTCTTTGTTTTACAATGAAATATAAATGGTATAGCTTGCTCTGATGAACGTGATAAGATAGATATTTGTTTCTACCAGCAATAATTATGCCAAAGCAATATATTTTTATCTGCTTTTCATATACCTTTATAGAAATTAGGGGAAAAGTGATTATTTTGTTTCCAAGAAATGAGATCATTAGTACAGCAGAAGTAATTATGAACCAGTTTAGCAAATTTGGGCATTGATATAACCTAAATAAAGCAAGAGCAGCAATATGTTATACGTAAGTTTCTAGGTGAATGCCTTTTAGAAGAATGAACAAGATTTCAGTTCGGCAACGTTTACTTCTTGAAATAGCTAAGCATTACGCAAAGACAAATCCCCCCCATAATTTGCTTTAAACTGAGCATCAAAAGTCAATGTTAGTGCGGTGAGCGTGATTTGCATGCTTATACTCTGATAATACAAATAACTATGCCTGACTAGCGTAATTACTGTAGAAAAGCATGTTTTCCTTGTTTTAAAGGTGCATTCAAAAACTATTTTAGCTATTATCTAAATATTTACGTCCATTGTGGCTTTTGTGTGGCAGCAGTCCTATGGGCTCTTAAAAAAAAAAAAAAACAACCCAAAACCTTTTTTCTAGGTTTTTCTACCTTTGAGAGTTTCCTTCAAAAGTTGAGTTTTTAATCTGAGCAGAATTAACAGAACTGTTGCAATAGTACTTGTTAACTTTTCTTTATTTTAAAAAACAGTTAACTTTTCAGATTAATTGATCAATGTATCTGTACAGATAAACTCATACTATTGTTTTAACTTATAATATTCTTGAATATTCAAGTGGCTTTTATAACTTTACGCTACGAGTCATGCGAACTTTCAGAAAACTATATACCCCTCTCCCACTATGCAACAGAAAACATTTTATAGCTCTACTGATAGAGGGCCTCTTAATAAGATTTCTTAGTTAATATTGACTATTAGACATGCAATACTTGGGTGTCCTGTTTTCTAAAAGGATGATTGCTCTTACCTCCTGCTCATTTATGGGCTTGCCTTTGCTTTCAAGCCCATATGATAAATGGGGAAACAAACTGTGACATAACAATCCTTTTTATAATCTTCCATAGCTCTACTCAAGAAATCAATTTCCAGAAACAAAGACAACTGTGAGTGGAGGTAGCCCTATTTTTTTTCTTTTAAGTTTATTATGCACAATTTATGCAAGTGCAGCACTTGCGGTATTTGTTTGCTTTAGGTGCATGTTTTGTGTTGGGAAATTCCATAGTTTCATCAGCCAAATGCAAGAAGTAATGGAAATTTACTTAGATGTTAGCAGGCACCTGCTTAGTAGAATTACTGACATTTCTTAACTTTTAAGCTAATTTAATTCGCATCTCATTTATATTTATATTTGTATTAAAACAACAAATAATACTTCAAAATCAGCAACTATATCTCAAACTCTTCCCTGTTATTATTTCAGTACATGCCAATGCAATATAATGCTGCTCACGCTGGTATTTATGATTCAGGGAAATCTCATCTTATGACTTAACCCATTACTCTAGAATTTTCCATGAAAGTAGAGTGTTAACTTGGTATCTAGATTACCCTTTATTCAGTGGTTGTACATTTCCAGTGTGGCAGATTTTTGTTCTTTCAAAAAACAAGGAATGTCTGTTAAAATGCTCACATCTCAACCTGTATTTTTTGCTTAGTGAAAAGACAAAGAAAGAAATCGCCATAGCTCAGATTACTGCTTATGAAATAAAGTGCAACTTTAGAGTGCAGCTGTTTCATAATCAGTGTGACCATTTTGTACATTATCAGTATAATCTTCATAAAATGTATTTATTCAGTATGTTTCAAAAAGATGTGAAAGGCATACTAAAATCCTGAGTGGTTTTTTTGTCAGACTATTTTCTGACTGATCATACTGAGATCCATATTTAGCAGTAATTTCTCTTTCCATGACCATACTGCCTATGTCTACCTTAGGAAAAAGGGAGTACCGATAGAAGTAGATTTGCAGAGTGAAACACTTAGTGCGAAGGCCCTGGCGTCCACATCATGCGTTTTCAAAGGGGGTTGATGTCCAAAGAGGTCTAGCCTGGTTTTGTGGCATGAGAACACATTAGTGGTTGGAGCACATTCAAGTGCATCTTCCATTTTAGTTTCATCTGAAAGAAGTGTAGTGTGTGTGCTCTGAGACTGACGGCTCTGCAAAGTGAGGCAAGGTGGGCAAAGTGGGAGCATTGGGAGATTCACTTCAGTGGGATGCTTCTGATCAAAACTAAAATGCAGTACTGAGTTGTACATTTCCTTCTGGCTTGTTTAGGTGTATTCCTTACAGAAAAAAAAAAAAAGATACATGGCTAAACATAAGATAAGAGCGAAGGCCTTTAAATGGAAGGTTAGTTAAGACAGACTAATGCAAAGTGACTCTAGTTCTGTTGGTTTGCATACTGATAATATGTAAGCATTTACCTACCTGATTAGAAAAGATTTTGGCATTGTGTCATCTAATGGAAAACAAAATGGCCCTTCTGTCGTTCCAGGGTGTTTTCAGGGGCCAGTTTTGGTTCAGAATTCAGTCTGTTTACCCTGATTTATATTGGAACTCTTTAATTGGTGTCTATTTTGTCTCATGTCATTGCAGGAAATAAAACCTAGTAACGCAACCATACAATAAATCTGAGGCTTATATTCTTAAAGATGACCATTTTATTGCTGTCTTAAAACAACTCTACTACCTGTGAAGAAGTCTCATTCAGTTATCTAAAACATTTGTCATTTTCTCCTTTTTAGAGAAAATGCTGTTCTGTGCCAAAAATGGTCCCTGGTTGATAGTGTATCATTCAGCAATTACACCAAAGGAAGTTCTAAAATTTTTTTAGCTAGTCTGAATCTCCTGGATGAATTAGAGGTGTTTTAAAATATTATCTTGCCAAAATTGCCCCCCAGGATATTCTTCAAAAAAAATTTCTCCCTGCTTCCCGCACATCTTTAGCTTGATAGGAGAGGCTACTTACTTTAACCTCAAACAAGGCTATAGATATGTTTTGCTTTTCAGTTTTAAAGTTTGCAGCTCTTCAGCCAGTAAGTTAATATTACTTACAGTGCCACTGGAAGAGAGCAGGAGAAAAATCTTGAATTCACACACTTGTGTTTTTTTTAAATACAACTCCATTGTTTTCTTCAAGGCATTGAAACACAATGATTTTCAGCAACTCTTTTTAAAAAAACAAATAAAAAACCCACCCCACAAACACAAAAACCATACCATATGTATTGAACAATAGGGACTAATTGCACAAAGACCAGATGTTTTCAACTTTTGCTGAAGTCAGTAGAAGTTAATATGGTGCAAAGCATCTGGAGATCCTCATTTACGCAGAGGATCTGTTCTAAAGGTAGAGACTGTTCTGGAAATCCTCTTGCATATAAACATTTTCTCTTCTTGCATATCAAAATTCTCTTCTATATAGTACAAAAATATTTGATTTAAAAAGATATCAGTAAAAAACAGGTAGTGTATTTCTACCTACTGTGTTTTCCCCAAGCGCAAGAACTTTTATGATCAGTGTCTCATGGATGTCATAGGTATATACACATCAGTGCAGTGAAGTTGGTAGGATGGGGACAAGGAGAAGCATCTGCTCACAGTGTGTTCAGTTGAGAGCATTTAAGGAGCCTGTAAACCCTGATGGGATCCCCCCCCCTCCCCCCGCTATCATAGCATGCTGTACAGAGAGTGTTTTGCCAGCATGTTAAATGTTAAGTCATAACCTGTTCTTTGCTGCCCTGTGAAATTACTGCACTTTGGTTAATAAATTTCTGCTGGGGGAAAAAAAAAATCCACTTTTACAGACAGTGAAAACACAGAAGTAGCTTAGAAAGCATTTGGTCATTTGTTAAGGTGGTTGTTTCGTATTATTTGGCATAATGTGTTTCACTGCCCTGGTGCTTGTCTTCCAGGGGTTGCGGTGGCCCCTTCCTCCCCCTGCCCCTGCCTAGCATTGCCTGGTATGGCAAATGTGCTCCCAGTCACATGGCAGAGCTGTGGCTACACACTTGTGCATTCTCCTCATTGCAGGGCAGCTGGATCTGGCCCTGCCCCCCTCTCCTATCCCTCTGTTTGCCTTAGAGCAATTCATTTTGCAGTTATTGAATTTCTTTGGAGAGTTATTTTCATACAGCGAGCATCACAGCACCTCTGGATCTTGATAGCATTTCTACATAAGGAGAAAGAAGCTTTGTGTTAGTAATTACCGAACATTGTCAGGAGCTGACTGCAGGCCTCTTTCTAGTGATAACAGAATAACCACATAATGTAGCTTTATAGCACATGATTAATAGAAAATAATTACACATCCTACAAAGGGATGCAATATTTCTTATAAATTGACTACAATGGTTTCCTGTAGATTAAAGGACTCTTCATTATTTTATCAGTCCTTCTGAAGTATAGTTGCCTATGTTAGCAGTGATGTTAAGAGCGGAATGCATTGAGGGATACCAGATGGTAAACCCAGTGGTACCCGAGATCTGAAACTGATGCTTGCAAAAGCATCGTGCTTCCCAGCTCCTAAGAATTCATATAAAACTCCTAACTGTATTCATATCCTTCTGCATATTAATCATTATTTCCCACAAATGTGGGCTTTAGACTTATTCTACACATCTTAAGCAGCAGTAATAGACACGTGGACCCCACAACAGCAGTCTATTAATTAAATTATATTGCTATGAAGGAGTTTATAATTGATAACGTTGATAGAAATAATACATCAATTTGGATTTTATATGTGACTTCAAGAAAGGACTCGGGGGGACTGCTTATCTGCCTGACTAGTAAGCAGTCTTTTGTGGTACTGAGGACAGAATGGAGTGGTTAGGAGTTTAAAGAGAAAGGTCTGTACTTTAATTGTGACTTCAAGAAAGGACTCAGGGGGGACTGCTTATCTGCCTGACTAGTAAGCAGTCTTTTGTGGTACTGAGGACAGAATGGAGTGGTTAGGAGTTTAAAGAGAAAGGTCTGTACTTTAATCTCAGGTTTTAGAATAATTAGATAGCACTCCCTTTTAAACCAATTAAAGTGTTATATTCTTGGTAGCCAGGTATCTGCATGATATTTTTGTTCAGACTTCTATAGGCTGCAGATAGTTTAATTGGAATTCATGTTGCTCTTGAGACCCATGCAAAGAATAGTAATGTAAAGTAAAAGCTTCTGCACTGCAATATTGTCTGTATGGTATAATGGTTGCAGTGAATCCTTAAATTAGTTTACTAGTCTGTTACATCAACATTCATTTCATCTTCTCACTTAGCTTCATGCCAGAGCCGTAAGTGGTGTATTAGTAAGTAGCAAAAACCAGAAAGTTTTCAAAACAGCAGCATGCTTTTAATTTTAATTTGAGGTATCTGAATTGTTTCTTTAAAAACAATTATTTCTAAGTTCATGCAGTGTTGCTAAATGGAACATTTTCAATGGATAATGTAGTCCACAGGCTTTTTCTATGCCATTTGTCATACGCAATTTAATGACCGTTTAACTAAGCCACTTCCCTCATTTCATGTATTGTTTGCTTTTTTGGCTGATGTCTAGCAAAACTTGCTTAATAACTCTTGTCAGTCACTTCATGAGTTCCATGTAACAGCTTAAAATCTTTTGTTGCTTTCTCTTGGAGAGATTTATTGCTGAGATTCTGGTAGTATACGTGAGTACTGCTCTTCCTTTCAGCAATTTCCCGCTTCAGTCTAGAAATCCAGTTTGTATATTTAACCAGTGTATTGTGAGATAAAACATAGATTTTTAAACAGGCCGATCTGGAACATTATAAACCTTAGCATCAGGGTATTATTTAGCCTTTAAGGATTTAGGCTGTAATGTGTACCCCCATGGGAAAGGTTATGAGCGGTTCTTAACTTCTGTGGAGAGCAGTTTGCACTGAAGATCAGGTTCAGATACCTCTAGACTTTCAGACCAGACCCATCCCCAGCAGTCTGTTCTGCAGTGGAAGGTGGAAGAAGGTGGAATTATTTTTGCAGCTTTCTAGTTTGTACGTTCACATCATAAATGAAGGTTTTCCGGCTGCTTTTGATGTGGATTTTCTTTAAATCACACTTACTGCAGTATTTTATGGATGTTAGGATAGAGTCTTTTAAATCACCAATTCACTGTGAAGAGAAGGAAGAAAATGTTTTATTTAACACTGGTGTGCAGCCTTCCACAATAAGAAAATATAAAAGTGTGTGTGTGCCTGTGTGCAAGCGTGTCTTAAAAAAAAAAAAAAAGGGCAAAAAGCAATAAAAAAAAAAAAAGCCTGGGCCCACATGAAAGTGGGCTTCATCGTAGTTAAGCACAGGGAGAGCTGAGTACACTAAGCACCTCATAGGACCCTAGAGAACTCTCGACCAGGCCAAATATGCCAGCAGCAAATCATTATAGCTCAGGCTCTAATGAAACTCCATTAACCCTTAAGCTCCACTTGACTATTTATAACCGAAAAACTTTATCTACAGTCAAAATAATAGCTTCATCTCAGTAGGACCATTAATTCAAAATCCTACAGCCTTTTGCTTTTCTCATCAGGAGAGCAGCGTAGCAGGAAGCAGATGTTGCTTATCAGAGATATCTGTGTATTTTGTATTTTCCATGTTTGTTCCAAAGTAATTTCTATCTTACTAATCATTCCATTTTGAATGGGGTCTCTGTTTTAATAATGCTTCATTTGTAACTCAATATGTGTGTGTGTGCAATTTCAGCTGTTACAATTTATTGAACCACTGTTAGGATTGATCTTAAAATATTTACCTCATAGGAGAAAAATTAAATTTGGATCCCACAATACTCTTACTTGGTATTGCTTTTGGAAGATATTATTTCTTTAAACTATTATAATTCATTTTGTTTCATATTTATCTCACTAAGCCTAAACAAATTTCAAACAAAAGTACATTAGTCATCTGTCAGACATATGAGATCTGCTGTAGAATTTTCTGCAAGCCTAAAGCAATAGTAGACTTTGTCCGTAGAAGGAGATTATGTATTAGATATATAGTGTTCCCTTCACATTTGAGCAAAGTAGTATTTAAAATAAGTTGATTGTAAGTTTCTTAGGAGTTTAGCCTTGTCATACTGGAAGAATCCCCGTTGATCCTTATACGTCAACATTGTGCTATTAGATTTTAGTTACAAAGATAAGACTTTTATATTTGTGATGAATACAGGATGGAGAGGTCAGCTATTTTTAGTAGGTGTCATAGAGAAGCGTGGCCGTAATTAAGAAATTTTCCTGTGTATGCGTGGCCTTTTTAAAATTTAGCTTCTGTGTTTGCCTTACTCTGCATGTGAATGCCTCTAACAAAAAGATACCATGTTTTAATTTTCAGTTGAAATGATTATAACTGTATATAAGAGAAAGCATCCATAAGGAGTTGCATACAAAACTCTATTGCATTTATATCAGACTAAAGGTTAATATTGCATATTGTTTTCAATTAGGAGTACAATAGATTTGGCTGGTGGGTAGGAGAAATGAAGGGAACCATTGGCTTGGTGCCTAAAGCCTACATAATGGAGATGTATGATATTTGAGAGGCCTGGGTAAGTACATTTTAATCCAATCTTCTGTAATGGCTTATATGTTCCCTTGTTCTCTGTTTCATAAGTATTTCTTTCCTGGAACCTTTGTAGGAGTCCTGTTAACATAAAGATTATGGCAAAATATATTGAAGGTTCAATTAAAGCACTTTTTCTGGGATTCTCTATGAAATATTAAACCACAGTGTACAAAAGATGATATATTTTATAACTACGTTCCTTTTCCAGATTTTTTTTTTGTGTAAAATAAAATTGGTGTGCTTTCTAGTTAGTTACTTTAGTAATATGTATCTATCTGTGCAGAAAACTGTGGAAAGGGGATAGATATTTGGGCTGGGTTTGATATGCATGTTTGAGGTTTTTTGGTTAATGATGAACTTTCAACTTTCCCTAATCAGGAGAAATTTGCACTTGAAATCGAGAGTGGTGTGCAGCTGCAGTTTACAGACCCGGCCTCTGAAAGAAGAAGATTCTGCCGTACACGTTTTGTGGTTTCAGTGAATGTAGTCAGATCGTTGCCTTGCGTATATTAAACATTAAAAACTGTAATTGGTCATAGTTCTGCGGAAATGTTCTTCTTAGCCACTTTTTATAGAATTGTAATGCTAGGAAATGAAATAGATGGTAATTAACATATGGGGCACAAGCAGCCAAATAGTGCCTGTTGCTCTTTTCTTAAGCAGCACTCTGTATGGCTATAGGTTGCGTTCTTTCAGGGAATTTGGCTATGTTTTTATTCTACATCTGAGGAAGAGGATTAAGCTGAATTTTGAAAGTAGAAAACGATTACTCAGTTCATGCATGCATTAACCTTTTAATGCTCACTGTACGTCTTGTGCAGTTTCCTAGGAAAATCAAGGGAAATTTATGTGTAATATTGCAAGTCTTCAGGGTATTCTGCTTCCAAATGATTTTGTATTATGTTTTAGCCAATGATTTATTTTTCCCATATATTTAGTATTGTTACTGTTAATTAATATTTTGTTACTACAAAATGAAGGCTTGGCTCTTTTGCTGATGTAAGAAATCAGCCTGTGTGGTAATACTGCCCTGATACCATTCTGACTTGGAGATGGGAATTATGTGAACATTTGTAAAAAGATAATATATTAAACCCCATAATTTTTGCTAAGTCAACACGAGCTAAATGGCAGGTAAGAACTATTTTTGTCCGTGGTAGTGTGAAATATTTTATCTGTGCCTTACGGATACTTTCAGAGTCAAATCTGGATACCTTGTTGGTATGTGGAATTTCTGATGCAAGTTGTGCAACAGACATCTTCGGCTCCGTGTGGGTTAATAAAGGCTACCTGCAGCCATAGTGTCAAATCCAGAACTTTGTGGCTAAAAGCATCAGCTGAAACATAAAGAAGTACACCAAAATACTCTCACCTGTGGACAAGGGGTTGGGCAGAGTTAATACTTTAAATCCTCTTGTTTTGGAGACGTGCTTTACTATTAGCGTGCAAGATCAACCTTTTTGAATCCTCCCACACACTTGATTTGTGAGACCCTTAATCTGCCAAAGAGGCAGGTCAAGCCGGTCTGCGAATTGCTGAGCCTATGCAGGTCCCCTTGTAGTTGCTTGTGCTGTTTACGCTTCAGGCGGGCCCTGGAAACACTGTGGGTTAAAAGGTGACGTTAGTCTGAACTCAGAATTAGATCCTTTCGGTAAGCTAAGATGTTGTGCTTTATTTTAGCTAATGGGCGATACTCGATGGTGCGCTGGATTCTAATAGGAGTCAAACAGGGTACAGCGTTCTGTTGTAATTTTTAAAAAAAGAGATACTCATTGAAATTGATTCTGTACGTTATCAGTGAAGCATTAAAATGATAGATGATAGTCTTCAGGTCTCTTACTACTTCAATTTATCAAGTGTACTTGTGGATTGTGTACAGAATGCGAAGCGTTAATATCACGGCTAGAAAAGCTCCTTCTCTCTTGTTAACATGGCAGCGTAATAAGTCTGCCCACCGAAATGTCTCTTTAGTAATTATGTCATCCCGAATTCCACCACCACCTACTTTTTTGGGAGTAAATCCTCCCCTTCCCCCCCCACCCCGGAGACGAAGCGCATACGCGCGAAGCTTGGTGTAGGGCAGGACCGGTGCGGGGATGCGGGCGCGGCGCCGGGAGCGGCC